ACTGGACTAAGAAGAACAGAGGAAAGTGATGAGATGAGACATACCCTATAGCATTAAATGGAAAATTAAACCCGGCCTTGCAAGTTAAATTTACCTGTTTAAATGACCATAATGTACTTGCAAATTAAGTGATGATGTATTTTAATGATTTATGAATTATTATCAGCAATGTTATGATGCCATAGTATGCAATGTACTTAATGTCCTCCTTTCCACTTGTAGTGTGTCAGAATCCTTGTTCTTCTCATGGTGTTTGTGACACTCGGACTAAAAAATGTTCCTGCTCTACCTTCTGGATGGAGAATCCTTTCAAGGCTCATTACGGTAGTCGTCATAGCAACTGCGGTGAGTGGGTGTGGTTTGTGTTATTAATAGTTAATTAATTTGTTTTATAGATTGGAGTGTACTCTATGTTGTGTTGGTGGTGGTTGGTCTCATTATAATATGCAGCTTGTGTGTCTGGCTTTGCTGCTGTTACTGCATGCACAGGTAAAATGAACATTATAAAAAATTATTTTTGAAATCACTCCCTCCTCCTAATTTTGTATTTAGCTTATGGTTTTTTTGAAAAATGGCTCTATAGAAAGTTTAAACTGATTCCGAGCTCAAATTCTAGAGCTACGAGCACTTTTTGAAAACTAGCAAATTTTGAGAAAAAATCATGGACTATAGCCCATGGTTTTTTCTGAAAAATGGTTCCAAAATCATCCCAAATTTTTATTACATTTTCTGATACACATTGATGTCCTTATGCTGCTTAGAAAATTTCAGCCAATTCTGAGCTCAAATTCTGGAGTTATGAGCACTTTTTCAAAACTAGTAAATTTTGAAAAAAAGCATGGACTATAGCCCATGGTTTTTTAAATAAATGGCTCCAAATCGCCCCCAATTTTTTATTACATTTTTGATACATAGTGATGCCTTTATACTGTATAGAAAAGTTTGAGTTGATTTTGATTCATTAATTTTTATTTTGAACAATAGAAGGAACTCTCGTAGAAGAAGAGTAAAATACGCCATCTTGGATCACAACAGAGAAGAAGGAGTTCAATCAAGAATGTTTGCTAAAGGTAATAAGAACATTAGCAGTTTACCATATCACATGACTATCACATGACTGTCTCATGTGTCCATTGCAGATAAAAGCAGTCTGATAGTGAGTGAGACTGAGACAGAGGAAGAGATATTGTTTGAATCAAAGAAGAAAGGAGGAGGAGGAGGAGGAGGAGGGAAGAGTGAGAAGCAGGCACTGATTAATCAACCTATTAATAGTAACAGGGTTAAAAATAACCTGACGGAATCTTCCAGAAGATTAAAGAAGACTTTGAATAATGTATCGTAACTGCAGCCCCTCCCCCCAAGTATTAATATAACTACATAATTAATAGTTAAGTAATTTTAATAATAACTAATCATTTTTTTCACTCTCATTTTAATATTCATCTTTGACTTTATTTTATACTTAATCAGAATAATAATAATTATTATCATTATTGAACGCATCAATTATTACAATAATTGTTATTATTATTTTTATCTTACATAACTTTATTTAAAGGGTGGGTGGTTCCTAACGTGTCTCAATTTGTTATTGTTATTACTCCAATATAACGTGTATAGAAGAAATGTAAGTGTGACAAGCATGGATCGTACATGTATTTTTGAAAACAATTATGGTACAAAAATGACCTATATAGGGGCTTCACCTCCAGGTAGTGGAAATACTATTTTGTGATCGTTAATCTACCTTTTTTCTCCTCCCATTTCTCTTTTCTTTTTTCCACTTCCTTCTTTCCCCTTTCCAGCTTTCTCTCTCCTCCAATATTCTCTCCTCCCTTCATTTCTCTCTCCTCCTCCTCTCTCTATACAGTCCTTACAATAGCAGTTGCTAATAAGCATCGACTTATTA